GTAGCCGGTGTGGCCGGCGGCGAAGGCGCTGCGGGCGACGACGGCGTCCTTCATGAGGGTTTTGCGGTCCTTACAGCGACACACGGATTCCTCGTTGTCTATTCGGGACTGTGCGCAACCCATTTCGGGAGCAAAACGGCGTCGTGTGGGAATGTGAGATGAGATTGAGATCTCAGAGAAGAAGCAGAGTGTGATGAGTGAGTGAGTGTGTGCAGAGTCACACACACAGAAAGGACAGAGATTCGGTTATTCGCTGCGACTAACAATCTCAATGCTACTCGCTCCCATCACCTGTCCCTATCAACACAATTTTAAAATAACGGTCATATTTCTAAATATCAAACTCTATTAGTCTAAATCTATTTCTAATTAAACTAATTATAAACGTATCCTCTCTTTCATTTTCTTCTTTTTTTTTCTCCTTTTTTTTCCCATACCACTTTCTACGCTAACTTTATGTTTAATCTATTATGGACCAGTTAGTTACAACTAATAATGTGTTTCTTTTTCTAATTTAAATTAGATAATATTTTTTAATCTTAATTTATTTGATTTTTTTTTATAAAAATTATGTCTCTCGTATGCTGTTTTTATATCTTCGAAAAAATTTAAAAAAAATGTGGAGAACGTAGAAATAGAATAGAAAAAAAATAAGATGTGTGATTTAGTTAATATGATATTGTCAAATTAAAAATGAGTCAGTCATGCATTTTTATTTCATCACATATAAAAAAAAATAGACACAAAAATTATATATGATAAAAATGTCGTTATTGAGTAACTCTCATAACTAATTGATCACGCATATATTTAAATATATGACAAAAGTCGTGAGCCAACTTTTATTCGTAATCGATTAAGATCGATGTTTAATTAATTATAAACAAATCAAAATGGTGTCATCATAATTGATTGACTAAAGGTATAACATGTAAAAAGAGTTACAAGTAAATTTTTGTTCGTGATCAATTAAGGTGGATATTTAATCGATTATAATCAATTAAAATGTTTTTACACTTTAGTGTCATCAATTAAACATTGATATTTAGATAATTTGCTAATGTGACTATATATATGTTAGAAGGGTAAAATAATAATTTACTTATAATATTATTTCTTTATTATTTTTCACATCTTTTTCTTAAGTCTAGCATGCTAATTTTTTCTATTTTTTATTCATCTATTTTTTATTCTCTATTTTTTAATATTTTAATTCTCATCTATTAATAACCGCATAAGAACTTTCTACTTGTCTCTTAGTCTTCGCATATATATATAACTTGGATGTTCATCACAAAATCCATGTTCATTATTGCATCATTTTGATCAAGCTCTATTGAATAAACTCAAATACTAACCATGTCACATTGTAGCAACAATGTAGACCATTGTAAGCGGTCACATTACTCTTAACACTACACTTAACCATTTAAAATTCATGAATTGACCAACTTGAAGTTTCATTGTGCAAAAATCACATTGTCAACGACAACTACTTTAGAACTACAACAACCTTTAACAAGGTGATGGTGTTGAGGTGGAGACTTGAAAGATCATTCAAGGATGGGTTGTAAAAAGTTGGTGAAGATGACAATCAAATTATATATAATGTTGTATTGTTGTGACATTGACAATATTATTACTAAAAAAATATCATAAAATGAATTGTTGAATTTTCTTTGATGCATTTTTAAGAAATGTGATTAAAAAATATTTAATATTTTTAAATTACATTTCATATATTTTTTGTGCTTGTTTTTATTTTTATTTAAGGCCTATGCTAAACTTATGTTAGTATGTATTATATTATATAATTTTTTAATAAAAATTATTCTGATAAATATTCAATTGAATCAGTTGACATATTTTCATCTTAAGTGCTACCAAATAATGAATATTAGAAAGAATGATGAGAAGATGTTAATGTATCGAGAACTATATATGACAAAATGTTAATTAAAATGATATAAAACCAGAACCAATTGTCTATTGTCTATTAAAAGATTGAAAAAAAAATTGTATTAGTTTTACTATTTTTTTAAGTCTTACTATTTATGTTATATTTTTCATTAATTGTATTGCTTTTTTTTAAATCCATACTATCTTTTGAAATCTCTTAAAATCCTTCAAAATATTATAAATTCAAATTAAAAAATATTTACTATAAAAGTCTTTTAAAAAATCTTGAAATCATTATATACTTACAAAATCTTTTAAGATTCACAAAAGAGTTTTTCATGCAAAAATAATCTTATAAAATCTTATTGTAACACTTCTAAATAAGACATGACGCAAGCTTAACTTTTGAAAATGTATATTGCAACCATTATTTTGAAATTGGACAAGATAATTCTCCTTAAAAGTTAATAAAATTTATCACATCACATGACACTTTTATGTTTCGCTTACTCACCCATCCTTATTTAAGTCAATTCTCACTCAAAATCCCTAATCCTAAATAAGCCCTTCATAACGCATCTTCAACAACTCATTTTATTCAAACTATTAGATCAATGTGATAGTTAGAATAAGATAGGATAGGATAATTATCTTACTTTATAATAATTTTAATGAAACATAAATTCTGTTATTTAAATATAATTATATAATATCTTATTGGAATATATTAAATACAAAACACGTATTATAATGATGTTATCTTGTTTCCTATCATAATTGCATCAAGCATATGATAGAATTAATATTTATCGTTCTCCTATTATATCTTACTTTTATGTTATCTAATTCTCAAATCTTATTTATTCTATTCTACTCTCATCGCCAAATGGTCCTTAACAACTAGAGAAACTCGAGAGAAAAACGAAACTGTTTTCAAAATGCATATAAGGTGAAAATCTACCGTATCTTTCAACATGTTTGGATCATATGATAAATATTACAACTTGATTTTCAGGATAATAGACAACTTAGCTGAAAAAAGAAACATTCCTTATTAAATCAAAAGTACAAATGATATTATAGACATTGCATCATTACCTGTATATTGCTACCCACTAACCATGTAACCGTGCCACAAGTTCATATCATACCACCAATTTAATTGTTGCCACTCGCCACCAACAACAAAATACATCATCATCACTCGAAATAAGATTATCATCCATTGTTGGAAAATTTCATACGAGATCGATATAGCTCTTGGTCTAAGGTTATAAAGGAAATTTGGTCACACACTAATTTGATTGAATAAAAAAAATACTCATATGAGATGGGGAATGAGCTTGGTAGAACACACTGCGAAATTCTTTAATTAAAACTACACCTACTAATTTGACTGAATGTTTCACTGTGTATCCTAGTGTCGGGTTTCAATAACTTAAAACGATTGGAAGGAGTATCAGTATTGCAGTTATTGAGTGAAAAGTATCCAAAAGAAAATGGGTGAGGGTGTGTGGGAGTGATCGAGAAATGTAATTACATCTGTAGCTGTCAAATTGACTCATACCCCTCGAGTCATTAGATTAAATTGACAACCCTAATAAATCAAAGCAATTACGTTGATCGAATATCTAATCCTTCTCAGTCCCAACCGAAATTAACCCAACCTAAACTTAATGGTTCAGCTACCAGGTTCATGATTTCTAAAGCCAATACCCAATATCTTTTTATTCCATTGATTTCTGAACAGTATTTTATTATTCTTTTTTAAATTAAACCTTAGGATCAGTGGACAAGCGTTTATGTCACTAGAGCATCCAAATCGGTGCTTCGGCCTCCTCCAAAGGAAAGGCTTAAAATATTAAATTGTGATGGTGTTTTCTTATCTTTGGAGCAACGGCAAAGACCAGGTTTTATAGGAGTTTGATCAAAGACCACAATGGACCATTTATGGTTGGGCTCACTAGAGCTTTAGAAAATTGCTCAATCCCGTGTCTGGAACATCGGCCATGTATTAAGGTTACAAATTGCTCTATCCAAAGGCTTTGTCAACACATGTTAAAAGCGATTCTCAAGTGATTTGAGTAATACATTCAACACATTATCTAAGGGGTACTCACAAGTCGATTTGGATCATTTCCATGTGAAAATAGAATCCAAACAAATTAATTTTATTTAATTTGGTTCAATTCAAACTTCCTCCTTTTTTTCGCACCAATCTGATCAATAATGATTTGATTCAATTCTGTTCGATCCTAAATTTCAAATAGTAGTCGTTTCCCCGTATCTATCCGTGTCATTCCCATTTATTATATATCCGGGGTTTATAACCCTAAACCAAATATCCTAGAATCATGTGTACAGAAGGATAATTCAATGATGAATACATTCTCTAAGCATGTCATTCAATAGATATTGGAATATGAATTCATCTTGCTTTTCTTTGTATACCTATGCTTGCTAATAGCTCAGAAGCTTTTTACTCCGCCAGTTTTGTTTTCGGTTTGGGGTTTGGACTTAGGCCGTTCAATTAAAAATGAAAAAAAGAAAGAAAGAAAGAAAGAAAAGGAAAAGAATAAGATAGAACCGAACTTCCCACATTGCCCGCCAGCCAAAAGACCAGACAATGTACATGTAGTACATTAAAAACAAAAAATTTGTACTGGGCAACAATGAAACAGCCTGATGGGGAGGGAGTTGCAATGTGGTGAGGAACAAACGTTCATTCCCATAATTCCCATCCCCGAGACAGACAATATTTACAGCTGCTAAACTAAAATTTGCCAGATACACACCCTTGCCTCAGAACAATTCAATCCCTGTTTCTGCGAATTAAAGATTAAAAAAAAAAATTAAAGTTCAAAAACCCATTAAAAAATACCTAAGCAAGGTTCTAATCAAAACAGTTCTTAAAATTCAAAAATCACGGGAAAAGAAAACATAAAAACCAAGCTCTCCAAATCTAGATCCAGACATAGACCTTGTCCTTCCATTCCCTGTAGCCTTTAGTGTATTTTTGGATAAATTGAGAGAAAAAAACACTGAAACTGCTTTTTTATGGAGTTCCAAAAAATAATCTAATTATAATAAAACTTCTAAAAGAAAATGCTTCTTACAAAATGCTTAATCGAAAAATACCTAATTCGAAGTAGCCAACTATCAGCTATGTATAATATGCTAAAAAAAAAAAAAACTCACTTTAGTGTATGGACAACATCAAAGAAAGAGCACAAAATTTTAAAAATAAAAAGTAAATCAACGATCTGTGTTGAGAGAAATCGATAAGTTTAACTGTTTAAGTAAACAATAATCGTACAGTCAATAACCATTGTAATATTGAAAAAGACCTAGTTGACCAACTATTAAAGAGTGACAAGTGACAACCAGAACAAAGAACCGAAGAGGAAACAAACAACAAAACGTTTCGGTTGACATGAGAAAGATGAGGCAAGTAAAAATTCATTACTAAAAGCATAAAATTTACAAGTTACAACTTCATTAGCTCCAGAAACCAAAAGTCAAAAGCATAAGCCAAAAACTTTGGTTTCTGCAAAAAGTGACATTGTCCCTTGACCACACAGCAAGAACAGGGAGAGAAGATTATGGAGAACGAAGTCAATCAAAAACATCCCAGCACTGTAAAACTATAGAAACTGAAGATATGAGGAAGGAAAACTTTCTTTGAAGAACTTACCGACAACAAAAAATTATATGGTTGATCAATGGACATCAGTTAAACTTTAGACTTCAGCTTAGCTTTGAGTTTACTCAACTCCTCGCCTTGTCTCTTTAAGAACAAAAACATGATTAAAAATCAATGTGCGATAAATAAAACAGAAGTCAAAATAATTTCTGGCACATTACTCAGATTATATACCTGATACAACTTTCTCCACGATTTGCTTGCTCTTTCTTGTAGTAAGCACCACTCTATGGCCATCTCATATTCTATATTGTTGGGCTGAGAACAATGTGAAGTAGATACAGCATCTTTCTGTACAACCAAAATCATACTGACAAATAAATGAAAACGATCCAACAATTTAACCAACATTTCCAAAATTAGGCCACGAATATGACCAAAAAAGATAGATCCCATACCATCTCTCGTTGCGTTTGCATCATTCGTAGTTGATCAACAACATGATGACCATAAAATATTGGCTTCTTTTCTGGAAAAGAAGGAACGCCAATGCTTCCAACAAGGGGTCTATCATAATATAAGATTAAATGCTTTTAAGTAAAACATTGTTAACGCATATATTTACTCAAACTTTTAAGCTGATAAAATAATTTTACTATTCAATTAATGTCTAATCAACATAGCAAATTAGTGTATATAAAAGCCAAACTTAATTTACTATTAAGGTATCAGTCTTGCAAGTGCAGTAATTAAGTGTTTCCCTCTTTTCCAATGATGTGAAAACTGAGATCTTACATGGGATGGGATGGGGATTGGCATGAAAGATCGTAACACAATTGTAAGACATCCAAGAAAGTCAAAAAATAAAAGTAAGAAATTCTGTAAATAAGTGAATTAGGAAAAACTAAACAATCATTAATGCTGAATAAAATCTCATTTATCCTTAAACTCTCATATATAAAACATATATGGAGAGAGAGAGAGAGTTGAATTCATGCTATTTGACAATGTAGTTATCGTGCTAAGAGGAGTTAAGAACATACCGCCCATTTGACATTAAGAAACAGCCCTCGTCTAATTTTCTAACAACTGACTCTGCTGCTTCCTTTTTTCTAAATATAACAACAGCTTGACCTATGTCAAAAATAAAATGTTACCCGACTGTCATATACAAGCTCATGAATGGAAAAGGGAGGTTAATAACAAGCATTAATAAAAATAAAAATAAAAATGAATGAAGAGTTTAATTCTAACCAGAATGAGGGCTAGAGTGTGCAGTTTTCTGGATCATCTTTGCAGTGCAACTTTCTTTAAAGCCAGTCCAAATAATATTCTGTTATTTAGAAGTTAGAACAGTGTCAACCAAATTAGTGACAGGCAGCTTATTAAGGTAAACAACAAACTGGATGGGAGCATTAAGACACAAACAATGTAAAATCAAAAGACTTTTATTTTGCTTCCGGTGTGACAGCCACAATACCCCACCCACACTGTAACACATAAGAGACCTTGATTAAAAAAACCCACACATCCCTCCATGGCCCAGCCATAATTTTTATTCTAACTAAACACAGTTATTCTTCACCCATCCTTCGATTGAATTTGATTTGAGGCTGTAAATGAATTGCATGTGTTAAAAGATGTTTTTATTTCTTGAAAATATGGAAACATGCAATGTATCCATTGCTTGCAATTAGAGATTGAATTAGGGATTCCATTGCTTGAAATTAGAGATTGAATTAGGGATTGATTTTATTCCTTGCATCCTTAATTACTTTTTATCTTGATTATAAATACAGATCCGGTGTGTGGGTATTAGTCAGACATTCAAATAAACATTGTTTACATGATCTCAGTAATCTAGGATCTTTTTTCCAATCCTGATTGCTTCAGCATCAGTGGTCATGATAAACAGTAACTGTGACCATTGAGCCTCAATTCACCACTCCATTGTGCTTCCATTCAACGATGTGCCTCCACATCCGGCAAGGGGACTCTCCGACGACCTGTTCTATCCAAGAACCACCACTCTCCAGGGCATTCTATTCCCGCGTCTAACGTAAATTTACATTTTTTGAGAGGCTGTTTTGTATCCACCTACTAGAGCCCCTTTCCCTGGCTTCCTTGCACTCAGGGGCCCCTACCCACCATATTTTGCCACTTGATTCATGGCCTCCAACAACTTCTCCTCCAATGCTATTGCAACATTTACGTTCACCAACTTCCCACTGATCCTGTGCGAAAAACTACCCAGGTCAGCAAACTTTAGTACCTAGGTTGCTGCTGTCAAGTTGTGGTTTGAAGGCCAAGGTTGTTTCGACCACTTGACCACTCATGCCCAAAAATTTCCACTCAAGGATCGAGCTCGTTGGCAGCAAATTGACGCTTCCTTGTGAAGCTTCATCTAGTTCTCTATTGCTCCCAACCTCCAGACCCAATACTAGGCTTCCCCACATTATGATGTTTGGACCAAGGCCAAGAAAGTTAATGCCAATGACTTTCACCGCTTTTACAGTGTCCTGACGACGTTGAAATACTAAGTTAGAAAATATGGATATGCAAACATAGCTTGGTAAGCTTTATCATTTACTTGTTGATTATGCCACTCACATGCCTTTTACTAGTGATGTAGAAACTAATTACACACAACGCAGCTAGTTGTTCATGCGGTATGCAACCAAATATTGTTCCTACCTATGACATGGTCAATGAATAGTAACATTTTTCCACAACACATGCTTTTGGACACTCATCACCCCTTTCATTGATTCATTTTCTCTTATCTCCTACTCTTCTCATAGTGGGGGGAGAAGTAGGGGTCGTGGTGGGCAAAGGTTACCTCCCCTACTCTATCAACAAATGTTAATATTTCTACTACCAAGTATAATGAATTTCTCCAATATCAAGCAGCCAACCAACCTACCTTGCCTGTTACTGCCATGACTCAGTCTCAATCTGGTAATCCTAAGGCCTTTGTTACCCAATCCCCTTCTCTTGGACCTTAGATACTTGATTCTAATGCCTCTAATCATATGATTGGTAACCAACCACTTTTTTTACATTTATCTTTTTCGGGCTCCTTGCCCTTTGTTACTCTTGCAAATGGCTCTAAGATAAAAGTTTGTGGCATCAAACATACACCCTCACTTCCTAACCTTCTCTTACATTTTATCTTATTTGTTCATGGGTTTTCTTCTAATTCAATTTTCATTAGCAAACTCACTTGTAATCATGATTATGATGTTCTTATTGTTAATAACTTTGTTCTTGTCTACGATAGGCATACTAGACTAACAATTAGAGCAAGACATGAGTCTCGTGGATTATATCAGTTTTCACCATTGGTTGCCTATGTCTTAACTACCACCCATATTCTTGTCCATCAACGTCTTGGACATCCTAGCATGGATGAATTACGTCTCTTGGTCCCTAGCCTTTCAACCCTTACGTTTTCTTAATGTGAGTCTAGTTAATTGGGAAAACATGGTTGTCATACTTATAGTCTTCAAGTCAATAAATGTGTTATCACCTTTTTATTTAGGCCACTCAAATGTTTGGGGTCCGAACAAGTTGGTTCCTCCTTAGGTTATTTTTTATTTTGTCACATTTATTGATGACTTTTCCCGTAGTGCTAGGGTTTCCTTAATGAAAAATCAATCTAATATTTTTTTTCTAATTTTCAAGACTTCTCCATCGAAATTAAAAATCAGTTTGGTTATTCCATTAAAATTGTGTATTGATAATGCTAGAGAGTACTTGTTTCCCAATTTCAATCATTTCTACCCTCACGGTATTGTTCAAAAGTCATGCTCACACACTACAACAAAATGGTGTTGCTAAATAGAAAATTCGTCACTAGGTCGAAACCATTTGTACCCTCCTCACTCACTTATGGGGTGATGCGCTTCTAACAGCATGTTATCTGATCAACCACATGCCCTTGTCTGTCCTCAACAATAAGATTCCATATTCCGTCTTTTATCCACAAAAAGATCTCCACCATGTTCCCCTTCATGTTTATGGTTGCACCAATTTTGTCCTTGATCTCCCTCTAGGTAAAAACAAACTTTTTGCCATATCACTTACATGTGTTTTTTTGGGTTACTCCCACCTCCACAAAGGTTATTGGTGTTTTTGTTCACAACTTCAATAGTATCGTGTGTCTGTTGATGTTACCTTTTTTGAGATTACCATTTTTTCCCCACTTCTATATTCAACAATCTTCCTCTGGATGTTTCGCCTATTGTTCCAACACCAACCATTGCATCTACTTTACCTTCACTCATTCGTAGTCACCCAAATAACCCAATCAGTTCGGATTGGATTTTGTTAGTGTTCGGGTCAGACTCGACCCAACCCGATCAAAACTTAGCAATGCATGAGTCAAGTAATAGGGTTTGCATTTTGGCCAATGACTTGACCTGACCTAGTCATGTATAAAAATAAAAATAATAATAATAATAATAATAATAATAATAATAATACAAAGAAGAGGAAGAAGTTAGTGATTTAATGATCATTTTCTCAAAACAATACTATATCACTCTTGCTTAGTAACATTTTGTGTTTTTATGTTTATAGCATTATAACAATACAACATATTTTAAATTTTATTTTGTATTAATGTTGGTTGTTTGAACGGATGACAATGTAACAAATCAACAAATTAACTTTAGAATTTAGTTTGAATCATTATTTGTTTTATGGGTTATAACATTGCATTTGCAACAAGATATCAAATTATTTATATCTATTATGAAATATTTAAATTTTTACAAAAAATAAATAAAGTTAATTATTCGTGATCGAGTTGATTTGGGTTGGATTTAAAAAAAAATGCACAAATCCTATCTAACCCAACCAGTTGAATTTTGATCAGGTCGGGTAACAAATTTATCCAAATCCGGATAAATCCGGCCCAACTAGACCAACCTACACCCGTAACGGCTAAGGTCTCCACTGGAAGCTCCACCTATTGATCCTCCAACATCATCTCTTGCTCCAATGCCCCTCTGCAAATGTCACTTACACCCGAACTCTTCCCATTGCCATCCACAAAGGTATTAATTTGGACCTTCTTCAAAGATGTTTATCCAAACTGGTAATCTCATTAAGTGTCTCTCCTCTACTTCTTAGCGTGACAAATTGTGGCACCACTCCATCTCACCCACCAGAATACTGGATTGCTTGAAAAAAGAAAATATTCCTAAATCCCCTATCATATGATCCGTGGAGCCATAATCTATCACAATGCCAAGAAGTAGAGGATGTACTACCCAATTCCTACCTTTCCATTGTATTTTGTCTTATGCTTAACCCAATTCCCTAATAATCTTCTCACTATTAGTCAAATAGCATGTTCGTAAAATTGTTTTGTAAACTTTCCTGAATCTTGTGTATTTTAGGATTTGCATACCTAGAGAACTATTGGTACAAGAAGAATGTATAATGGGTTGTCTTTACTGGAGGAAGGAATTTCACACACATACACAACTTCTACAATCTCTAAGTTTCAAATTCATTATCAGTTAGGTCATTCATCCTTTAGGAGTACTTAAGTAATTATGTCCACAACTATATTATGTCTACTTTGTTAGTCTTGTCAATTTGCTAAGTGTTTATTTGTCTTTGTTAAGAATGTTTTCTAGCATGGTGACCAACAAGAGATGCATATGGAGCAACCATCTAGGATTGTTGCTTTAGGGAAGGTGTGCCACTTAAAGAAGGCACTATATGGCTTGGAACAATCGCCTAGATCTTCATTAGGCATATTTAGTGAGGTGGTCCATGCATTTGGATTGAAGTTAGAGTGATGATCATACAATGTTTTATTAAAACACTAGCCTTGCTAACATTTTAATTGTGGTGTATGTTGATGATTTTGTGATTTCAACAAAGTGATAACAAAGGCATTGACGACTTGAAGAGTTATCTTCAAACTAATTTTCAGACTAAAGACTTGGGAGCCTCGAAGTACTTATGGATGTAAAGGTTATGTACTCCAAGAAGGGGATCTTCCTATCAGAAAAGAAGTATGTTTTGGACTTGTTTAATGAGATTGGAATGATGGGAGCCAAACCATGTGAGACCCTTATGGAGCCAGGAGTCAAGCTAACAATAGATGAAGCTCCATTCTCTAGTGCACACAGATATAGACAATTGGTGGGAAAATTGATTATTTATCTGTCACCAAGCCAAATACTACCTTTCCAGTAAGTGTTGTACGCACTGTTAGGTACTAGAAGATTCAGAAAAGGGTATTGTGCATCATGAATCCTAATCATGGACATATGTAGGTGGAGGCTTTCTCTAAGGCAGATAGGATGGCTCTCCCATGGACCGTATATCTACCACAGGCTACTGTGAATTTTTGGGTGATAATTTGATCTCTTAGAAAAGTAATAAGCAAAATGTGGTAGCAAGATCTAGTGAAATACATGGTTATGGCTCAAACAACTTGTGAGTTGATGTGGGTGAGACAAATTTGGGAGGAGATAGGATTTTCCAATAACTATCCTATGAAATTGTGATGTGACAATCAAGTTGCCTTATATATCACATCAAATTTGGTCTTTCATGAAAGAACGAAACATATTGAGATAGATTGTCACTTCATCCAAGAAAAGGTGCTATAGAACCTCATATCTAGCACTTATGTCAAGAAAGGAGGCCAACTAGCAAATGTGTTCACAAAAGCTTTGAACGGGTGCATAGTAATTTTATCAATGGCAAGTTGGGCATGGCATGATTAACCATCTATGCTCTAGCTTGAGGGGGAGTGCTAGAGACGTTTAGAATAAAAGGGTTTTAGTATGTATATGAACTTGGCCCAAGTGCTTGTATATACTTAACCTAATAAGATAAATACAAGGGTAGCTACACATTATAGTTTACTCATATGCCTCTCTTTATCTCTATCTCATTCTATAGATTTAAATCACATATAAACCATTCACAATAGGAATAAACAAATTAACTCTTAATAGTCCTTCTTTCAGATGTTGCATTTGTATTCTAGTTCTCCATGTAATCCATAAATTTGGATTGATTATTACCTGTACATCTGATGAAGATAAAGACGGGTCCAAGTTTTGAAGTAGCACAAGTTTTCCTTGCTCATGTGCAGTTTCCATTTTTTCTTCCCAAGGCTAAAAATGATATAAAATCATTCATAATGTGTCAAGCCTTATTTCACTTGATATCAATCAAAAGCATCATCAAGCAACATAAATAAAGGATACTTGTTCATAAAATCCTACAAGCAAATTCAATTAAAAGGGATAGAAAATGAAGAGATAAAATAACTTACAATTTCCTTAAACCATTTGCTTCTATCCTGTGACAAAATTGAGGGAAAATTGCATAAGAACACCACAGTATCAAGCAACTTGGATTGATGTTAAGAAGCATGTAGCAAGTCAAGTACATAATGAGAACAATTGAAAAAATGCATTACTTACTATAAAGAATTTAAGACAAAAAATTGTTAAATCGATTAATTCCATTTAAAACTTTGAAGTAGGATTACCCTCCAAAAGAGGCCATTGAATAGGAATTATGTAGGATGTATTCAAAAGAGTTTCCTCAATTCCTTTACTTGAGAATTTTAGTTTATTTTTTTATTTCACTAAAAAGACATGGTTAGATTTGACCATGAATTGAATCATTAGAGAGAATTGATCATCGAATCCAAGTAATCGACCTTACCTAGTGTGATAAGACTTTTTTGTTGTATTAATGAGAACTGGGCAATCGGGCATTATCATAGTCGTCAATTGGGCATTATCATAATGGTATTGCATCATGACATCTATAAGACCCTTCGTCAAAGGCATGATGGATAGCCACATTGCGACTTTGTCATGCTTGGAAAACACAAATCACAATTGCTATTGTTGCATCAACAGGTGTAAAACCTATTTTGACCTTAAAAGATATCATTTGAAGGTTTTAGGGGTAAATCATGGGAGCCTTATACATCAAACTCGTATTGGAGACCCTATTAAGATCATTGGTGCAATGAAACCCCTTGTCCATGTCATTTCTAGCCTCCTCCATTGAAACCCTAACTTGTTCAAACCTAATTTATTAAAATTGAACCAATCGTTAAAACGATAAAGGCAGTGGTTCAACAGTGATCTAATCATGGTTGCAACAAACCTAGCCAATAATCAACATGCTCAAGCAATTTTTTAGAAGTTCACATCGTTTTTGTACTCTGCATCTCAAACAAGACAAATGACTAAATGAGATGTCAAGTGAAATGAGGGACAAGAAAACATCACTCTTGAAGGCAAGTTTCTCGATCCAAGTATCCCCCAAAACTTAAAAGGGTAAGTTCAAATAAAGTCTCGTGACGATAGCCTTAAAGTACATGAATTAGTCATTTTTGGCTTGAGTGGGAGACACTCATGAGATTACCAAAATTAAAAAAAGGTTTGGCTTGTCCCATCCCCAAATTGGAAGTTGTTTTAGAGCATTGTCAAATGGATTGAGCACTTAAGCCAACATAAACTATGAGCGCATCAAGATACACAACTTAATTAAATACTTATCTAACATAAGCTTATCTCATGGAAGCTTCTATTAAAAAGACTTAATAAGCTTATCTTCATAAATCTCACCAAGAATCTTAAAGAAATAAGCTACAAGAACATATAGAAGAGTCACTAGTCATTTTCATAGGCTTAACCAAGATCTTATAGTTTTCAACTTGAGTCCTTAAATTTTAAGGGCCCAAATATGCTCCATAAGTATGGGCTTGTTTAATGATAGGAAAATTAGGACATTCTCAATCCCCACAAGAGGCAATCTTGTTCAGGGCAAAAATATCCACAACACAGTGAGGCTAGCACTTCCAACCCCTTATGCTTTTTCCATGCAAAAGGCATGAAACTAACACTTTGCTTAAAGGGAATCTAGTATGTATCACTTGAACCAATCACTCATTGGTAGAAGGAACGTGTTTGCATGAGTTATGAAACCTTATTATAAAAAGGAAATAATACAATAAATAAAACTATTATTATTCACCACTATAAACTAAAGGCTAAATTGTACTTTTAGTTGCCTTGAAAATTTTTCATTTAACGTCGTAAAATTTTCACCTCCGTTATTATTTGGTTAGTAAAATTAACTTGAAAGTAGAGTTGTCATAATGGGCCAACCCGGCTCGTTTGACCCGACCCACCTCAACCCACTTTTTAAGTAGGTTGATACGGCTTGGCCCACCAATTTTTAAGTTAAAAATTTTCTAACCCGGCCCAGTCCACCATGGGTTGGTAGGCTAAACGGGTCGACCCACCAACCCACCTAATTTTTTTAAAAAAATTTCTAATTTAAAATAAATTTCAATCTAAAATAATCTCTAATCTAAAGTAAAAATTGTCAAACTAAGTATCATGCATGCAACATTAAACTTAAATTAAAAAGTGTACAACTTTAAATAATCAAAAAATAAAAATAAAAATCCTTTCATGAGAGTGATTATTCATCAATATTAAATTTCATTTGAGGCTTGAGTAGATAAATTTATAGCAATTTCATGTTGTTTAACATTGACTTTATCTTTATCTACAAAAAATAATGGTATCTTGTTAAAATAATACATATATAATAATAAATGGTTAAGTGGGTTGTTAGTGAGTTGGGTTGATGAGGGTGTAAGTGGGTTAGGTGGGCAGCCCGGCCCACCACGAATTCAGCCCGGGTGGGCCGAATTGAAAGTAGATTGGGTCACATTTTTTGACCCATTAGGAATTTGTTTTCATTTTTTTGGACCGGCCCGACCCATTTTCAAGGTAAGTCGAGTTGACCCACAGGCCAGAACCCACTTTGACGGCTCTACTTGAAAGTATAACATATGATGTCACCCAATTAAAAAATCTAAAAGAATTTAGCACAATACAAAAACTTCTTGTTTTCATAATGTCTCTAGACAGTAGTTTTACCTAGCAATGCATCATTTCTACTAGGAAGCCCCAACTAAGCCCTAAAGAGATAAATGGAATGGGACTTTCAAAGATCAAATAACCCAATTCCTTTGTCTTGCAATGTGAAATTGGCTCAAGGGTGGAAGGGGGTCAAATTTGAACTAAATAATTTGGTCAATCCTAGTTATGATATAATACTAGCCCAAGAGGATTGATGTTTAAGCCAAGTATTAAAAGCACAATAGGGCTAAATGCCAACCATAGAGGTTGACCCTATCATGACAACTCTATCTTGTTCATTTGGCCATGTGGTGACGTAGTAAGGTATAAGTGCGTAGAGAACAAGAACTATGAAGACAAAGATAGAGTACTTGCAATGCAACTTACAACATCTGGTCTTTGAGTAACTTCCATTGGACGAAAATCTAGCTTGTGTTCCACATTTGGTGAAATCATTGAAGATTCTTTGCGCAACTTGTCACTGGTGAGTTTCATTGGCTTCTTGTCAATCTTTAACTTCTTGGAAGGGAGTTCCTCCACATCACCATAATCTCTTTGATGTTTATATTTATCCTTTGATGAAGATGGAGCTATAGTCTTGACATCATCGTCATCATCGTCGTCATAGGAAATAAGCCTTCGATTTTGCCCTTTATTATTCATCTTTGCACTAGAAGCCTTACCAAAACTGCCATGTTTCCCCTTCTTGGAAGCTTCTTCCTCTGTCGATCCCTTGTTAATTTTTCCAACGGGGCCACCAACATCATCACAATCATCCCCTTCTAAATCAACTCTAGACATCACAATCTTCTTCTCAATAGAGACATTTCCACACCCATCATCCATTTTAGTTATTTCCCTCATTTCCAAACCAGCTCTAGAACCATGTGATAGTTTATTAGATGATTTTTGTTTATCCAAAGAAACCTTAAAACTCCCATTTTCTTCAACTTTAGCTTGAGGCATGGTCTTGTTGTTGGAAATAGTGTGCAAAGAATCAGTAGGTTTACTTGCATCCTTTACACCAGTGCTACTAGTAGGTTTTTTTCGCAACAATGACTTAGAATCAGCATTTTCTCTAACTAACGTGTCAAAACACTTGCCATCTGGTTTTTCAATCAAAGGCTGACTCTTTTTTTGACTCGAAAGAGCCACCGCTGCATTACTTGCAATGAAGTTCCCATTAACTTCTTTCTTGTCTAAACCAGGTTTCACAAGACCAACAACCTTTTGACTATCTAAATTGTTAAAAATATTTTTAACTGCAACAATTAGAGAAACAATTTCACAAGATATTCAAAAATTTAAAACTAAGAAGAATTGCACTTATTGCACATGATTTAGGGTCAAAAACATCAATAAAATTTTTAGTACGATACTAAAAAAAAGTCATTTATCAATAAAAACGCTCATAGTAATTTCAAGACTCAATTTAGATATACCAACTAAACACATATACATGTAATAAATTTTGCATTAAACAAGAAAAACAATCATTGTAATTTGGAAAAGGTCCACTTTTCAAGTTTCTCTAATTGATTACGATTAATATTCAAATATTATAAGTTAAGTTTCATTTGTAAAGGAGTAAGAGGCTGTTAAGTGGCAATCTTTTCTTTTCTCTTTTATTGAACATGTATGAATTTGATCTTTCAAAGCATGAGATGAGTGCATCAAAAACAATTTCATGCAGTAGTTTATGAGATTCCCATAAATACCCATTGGAGTAAGCATGCTTGTCAAACTCTCGAGTTAACTAATATTTAGGATCCTAAAATTAACTGTCAAACTATTTTCTAGATAAACTCTTCAACCTTGTGTAAATTATTATAAACTCTTGAGTCAAGTGTTAATATTTTAATATAAATTCATGCAAGTTTGAAATCAAATGTAATTTTTGCCCCCATTAACTCCCCTAGAGTTAGTATTTTATTATGCCTCAAATAAATTGAAGAAATCAACTCCTATTTGAAATATTTTCACTTTCAATTTTTATATAATTTGATCATTTATGTAGTCTAATAATATTATTTAGTAGTTAGTACTAATGTACTATAACACTAATAGAGTTATATTGTCTTGTTAAGAATATTATGATATGCATATATGGAAGCTCCACAAGTTTACATAGACTCTCGAGTTTGACAACCTTGAAAGAAAGTGTAATTCCATCCCATATCTAAGGAACTTTAGAGAAAATTTTCCAAATAAACGGGATGACATACCTTCAATTCCAGCAATATTATCATCTATCTTGTCCACTATTTTACGCTTCCCAACATCAAAGAAACGATAGAATACAAATTCAGCAATTTGAACTTCTTCATCAGATGGATAAGGATTCCTATTGTCCTTCGAAATGCAAACGATATTGCATTTTCCAGCAATTGCTTCCTGGTGCAATATACAAAATGAACAAAAAATAGCTAGTTAGATGTTGCCAGCCAGCTCCAGACCAAGAAAAAATACGTGCAACAATCTCCCCAATACTTTGGCTATGTTTGGACTGACAAAAGAGGATAAAATAGAGTGAAATGGAAGGGTTGGAATTAAGTTGAGTTGTGTTTGGTTCAGCTCGACTTGACTCGATAATATTTGACTCAACTCGAAGTTCGGCTCGAGTTCAACATAAACCTTTTTTACCAACTCAAACTCGACTCGGTACAAACTCACTAACAATTCAGTTCAACTCGTTAGCTCATTAGCTTGAATCACATGAACCAAGAGTCAAATTTTTTTAATCTTATGCATTTCAAAATTTTAATTTATTAATTGATCTTAAGATAAAATGAATGTTTCTTTTTTTTTTACAAGATATGACTCCAAAGAAACATAATTACAACCAAAGTGTGCATAAATAAAAATTATGCTATCTTGCATAAAATAATAGAAGACTCAAGTCATAACCATGAAGTTCTAAGGTGCTCACTTCTTTTATTATTATTAAATTATAACTAAGTTTAGAAGGTTCTTTAAAATTTTAATAAGCTGAAATTAAACAAAAAGTCAATTATATAAATTATATATTTCTATGTAGATTCGATTTATCAAACTCTATTTTTAGTTCAAGTTCAACTCATTTACTTATTGAACTCAATTTTAATTAAGCTTAAGTTTTGCTCATTTGGTTTATGAACCAAGTTCAACAAGTTAATTATCAAATTGAATTTTGAGCTATTTTCGAGTTAGTTTGATTCATTGTCAACCCTATGGAATACAATGAAATGACACTATATTTCCCTTTTTAAGATTTTTAAAATAGAATGAAGCATTTCATTCCATTCTGTTAATACCCCACTCTGTCTTCCAGGGGTATGGAATAGTACTAGACTACTAGTACTTCATTTCCACCTTTTTTCGGTAAACTAAAATATTCTTTAGCTGAAAGCTAAGGACTAATTCTCTGAGATATTGAGATCCATTTAAGAGGTTGGTTTCTCCCAATAAATGTTTTTTATTCACACAGACCAGGGATCGAACTCGTAATTACATGCTTATGGGACAAGATTATCTATCTAAATATATTTTAACAATAAACGCTAACTATTCCATATCATTTCATGTTGCTCCACCACATTTCATTTCACTCCAAACACCATTAAACATCCACACACAAGCCCAAAAGTTCACAACGGAATAGTTTATAGTACACGCTACAAACTGATGCATCATTTAAAGCAATAAACCATAACAACATTATTATAGCCCTAGTAATAGCAACCAAACAGATCAACACCATGCCACTCACCCCGATACTCCAATCAAACAGTTAGCAGAGAAGAAATTAACATTATTAAAGCAGATAAGAAAATCCTATTACCAGAGGATTGACGTTTACAAGCCCTTCCCCTTCACCAGATGCCAAAAACAACTCATTGTGAAGCGTCTCGCTTCCTTCCAAGAAGTTCAGAATCTCACTAGGTCGAAAATACCACAGAATCTTAACTTTCTTGCTCTTATCAGCGGCCTCCCATATTTTAACGATTTTACCAATGAAATGCTCGGGTTCACCTTCCTTGTAGAGAAACACAGAGTCATAGAGGGAGTATTCCACCCCGTCGTAGGAAAACGATTCGTAAAATTGCACATCCTTCTTTTTACCACCAACCCCTCTCCTTTTGCCCCACTTGAATTCAATAACCTCCCCCTCCTCCCCTGCTTCTGCCATAATCTGAAAGTGAAAACCAAAAGGAAAAAAGCATCGGTAAAACTCACCGCGACGAGTTCAATTTTGAAATACAGCATCAATGTCATGTAATCGATGCCAATTTGGAGTTCAATTTCGAAACACGGTACCGTATCGTATCCCTAGAAACTTGGAGTGATTTCCTATTCTAGTGTAGCCGAAACGAGACTGTGTAAGATTTGCAATGCTGAAGGGTTCTCGTGTGTGCCATTTAACTGGAGCCCCTATGTGTCGATGAGCGCCAAGAAACGCGACTAGACAGCAACTCCACAAAACCCTAACACAATGCGAGGACGAACAAAGAAACTGGTATCTCCCGCTTTTATGATAGTTTTTGCTTCGCTACAGTTTCAAGTTATTTACATTGTACTTCCATACTTTCATATTTTTTATTTTTTTATTTTTATAGTTAAAAACATTTTTTTTTATATAATGACAAAAATGAAATAGCACTTTGTTAAAGATGAACTGAAAATCGTGAATTATTTTACCATTTGTCCCTATATATTAATGAGAGATTTGTTAAATGAGAGCATTTTTTAAGTGTTTTCTTTAACAAAAGAGAGTTCGAAGATTCTTATTTAATTAATATTTTAATATATATTTTAAAGATTAAATATTTATTATATATAATTAAATTTTATAATAAATTAAATATACAAATAAATATTATATTTAAATACATCAATTATATTTAAAATTTGTATAAATAGATATTTTTAAATATATAAATAAATTTTTTTTAAAAAAATATAAGTTATATTTATGATTTAAGATAAATAAGTTATATTGTTGTCTAAGATTAATTTTTATTATTGATAATTTATTTTAAATATTAAATTGTAATTCATAAATAAATCTAATTAATAACAAAATTAAATTAGATAAAAAATTAAAGAAACTTTTAGAAATGCTCCCATCGAATGATAGTTTCTAAAATATTATCATGTAAAATAGTTGTTTATGTTTAAAAAATAAGAGTTGATTTATTTTTTAGTTATCATATTATTTTGAATTAAATTATAATATTTTTAAAATAAATTACCTATAATTAAAATAATTTTGTGTTAAAATATAAAATTATTTTTATAAATTTAAAATATAATTATATGTTTAAAAATATAAAATTATATAATTTTTAAATATAATTTATGTATTAAAATTTATATTTATTTGTATATATACTTTTTCGTAAATTTGAGTTATATATGATAAACATTTATTTATGTAATGTACAAACTAAAATATTAGTTAATTTTAAATTGATAAAATTAATTAAAGGATAGTTAACATAATTTTGTCTCTCAATTTCAATACTATAATACATAAATATTAAATTACAAATTACTAAATATCGTTATCTTTCAATCAATATCACTATTAATCCTATACTAACAATACAAAATTATGACAATTTTAAAAATGGCAATACAAATACTATTAAACTTTCAATAATAAAATCATATTACATCACAAAGTCTATCATGTCCATAAAGTAAATATAAACAAAACTGTCATAAAATAATAAAAACACAAATCACTATTCATAGTGTATTTCAAGAATATTAGGTGGAGTTTTAGAAAAAGCTTTTCCTTTAATTTCATGAGAATGACAATCTTTGTGGTTGAGTTGGAAACCATAACCTTCTCACGCATGTCATACATTATAAAATAAAATTAAAAATAATATTTAAAAATTAAATAGATTGACAAGTTAACTTGATTATCCTATTATTTAGTTTGGTGGACTAAATGAAGTTGTTAAAATATCTATCTCGTTTTGTCAATTTTCTGATATATTAGTGAATCAACTTGTTTAACTACAATTATTCATGTCACCTTTATTTGAAATTGAATTGATCTAAATGAAAAATCCACTTAAAAAAAAAAACCAATGAAACTTCTATGTAAAATATCATGAACTATAATAAGTTGAAGTATTGAGAAGTATATTCAAAACTATTTGAAAAATGTAGCTTCTATTTAGTTAGAAGTTGATTTTCGGAACTACTACATACATTGCCTCCGAACTAAGAGATTAGTTTTAAAACTTTATCAAAATTTTCTCAAGTTGATCTGCTTGGTTCAGATTAAAATATATTTTAAAAAAATAAGCAGCAAAACAATAATATAGATATATGGAAAACAAGTGAAGAGATATTGTACGTTTAAAAATTATATCGGTTCACTATGAACTTTGGGCTTCATCTGGTCTCTATCTCGGGTAGGATTTACACTAGAAAAATGCATTAACTTCGAAGATATTCTTTGTCCTTAAGACTTTGTTTGGATTTGAGGATGGAAAAGGAGGAGTGGAAAAGGAGGGATTTGAAGGGAAAGTGAGTGGAAAGTGAGGTTGTTTGGATTAAGGGAAAGTGTAGAGAAAGTTTGTGAAAGTTTGTGAGTGAATTGATTGATGTGATAGATAAAAATAAATTTTTTAATTGATAATTTTGTAAGATTACTATTTTGCCCTTGGATTAAAAAAAAGTTTATAATTATTATAATTAAAAGATAAATATAAAAATTTTAACTAAAAAATAAATATAAAATCTTAATTTAAAAATAATTTAATTTAAATATTTACTTTAAATTTAATGATAGATAAAAATAAAAAATTTAATAGATGAATATTTAAATTTAATAATAGATATAAATTAAAAATTTAATAGATGAATATGTAATTTACACTTTTACTTTTGGATTAAAAATGAGTATAATATTATTTATTGTAAATAATAATAATTAAAATAAAATTATATTAACAAGTTTAATTTATTAAAAAATAATAAATAATGATATTAATATTAATAAATATTAGAAAAATAATAAGAATCATAATAAATAATAATAATACTAATTATAATAAATAATAATAATATTAATAATAATGATAATAATAATATTTACAATAATAAATAATAATAATAAAATATATTATGATAATTATATTTTCTAACATTATTTTATTAATATTTATGAAAGTGTTATTATTTTAATTTTATAAACATGTATTATTTTTTTTTTATATTTCTACTTTTTGATGTGAATATTTAAATAATAAAATATATAATCTTTCCAATATATAATATATTAACCTATAGCTATATAGCTTCATATACTAGCTAGATATATATTTTACACAGATTGCATGTTGACATGGTTATATTCATGTAGAAGCTTATAACAATGGTACCAAAGGAATATATGAAATCCACCAAGTTTTTAACTCGAAGGAGTATTCCAACCAGCGCAAGCCCCAAGTGTTCACAAGATTGCATAATCGATTATGTACATCAACGCATAATCGATTATGCTCGTACATAATCGATTATGCGCTGCATAATCGATTATGCTCATACATAATCGATTATGCACTGGCATAATCGATTATGCCTCAGTATAATCGATTATGCCAGTCCATAATCGATTATGTATGGTGCATAATCGATTATGGTAGTATATTTTTCTTCAATTTTTCATCTCTTTTCAGGTTTTGGGCAGGGTATTTCTGGGTTTTCACAAATCTTACGTGGCTTTCTTCTCTTTTCTTCGTTTTTGTGTGAGGATGGCAACGACGCTTCTTCCCCCTTTTCTTCGCCTTTCCATCGTTGCAAATTACCGGAAACAAATACCCATTTTCTTCGCCTTTCCTTCTACGTAAATAGTAAATCAATAGATCCAAACAGGGGCTAAACGGTTAAACCTCCACAGGCTTTCCCACAATATTTCAAACTTTTGTAGCTACACCAATATCTTTCTCAAGTTTTTTTAGGATGCATCATACCAAATATTCTCATCTATTCAAGTCTCACCTCCCAACTATTATTTATCATTTATTGTTAATTTTAAATATTACGTGAACTATGTTTAAGGATGAAAAAAAAAACCACCCGTTTGAGCTATCTAAAAACCAAAGGCAGATTTCTATAAATCAAAAGTCTTCCTTTGAGCTACAACAACCATGATCAGAGTGCAAAATCTCATGAACCTGTCCTCCACAGAAAACTACAGTGGAACAAGGATATGAAACCCTTTGTAACAATGGCACAAGGTATCTGATGCAGCTTCAACATGACAGAAAGCCCACTTCAAGAAAAAGGCCTTGATTACTTTGAGACATTCGTTGTAAAGCCTACTACTATTCAAATTGTACTTAACATTGCCTTTTCTTGGTTATGTTATTGTTTCCTTCCCTTCCAGAAGCATACTTCAACTCTCTCTTTTTTTTTTTTATAGATATACTGAAGTCATTCTTCATAATAAGAGGTGGCATGAAGCATATCCACTTACCATATATAGCTGACAAACTGATGCCATTAACCCATAATGCATCCAAACTGAGATTTGACCAAATTGAAATGCCAAACAGTAGCATTTGGTCTAAAAAAATAATTGGGGTTGGTTTTAGTCAAGTGAGCTATAGGGTCATTTTGGGCCACCGGCGTCAAGTCATCAAAAGAGAAAAGAAAAAACAAATGGATACACTCTCTTAGCATTTACTTGGGCTTCAACAAATTGCAATTCAATTCAAATAATTATACGCAATTACCTCTTGTACACATCTTATTACTTTTGGAATGAAAGTTTTGAAATACGCATAATAAGTGTAAGATATAATAAGCTGGGTACCGAAAACAATACTCAAATTCTATACCAACCCTGTCTAATCACTTGTTTAGTACATATATCTATATTTTTTTACAAACCCACCCAATCTAATCTAATATCAACTCATTCACCTTATTTAATTACTAACACTCACTTGGTTACTTAATTTAAATCCCAACTAAATATTTTAAAACCCATAAATGTAAAACTAAAAGGGTTTAAATCTTTGATACTAAATTTGATCAATTAGTGTGTGAGAGTAGGTGTAAATCTTTGATACTAAATTTGATTCCTACCGATAAAAGAAACACAAATGTAGATTTTAGTAAGTGCGTAACAATTATTGAACACATAACCTAATTTTTTTTAATTATTTCTCGTAAATTAAAAACTTGACTATATGTCTCATAAAGAATAACTGATAATTTTTTATATCAATTTTAGATTCATCATAGATCTCAGCAATATAAAAAAAAATTTATATTAATCATAAAAATAATTGACATAAAAAATCTTAACTTTTGTATCGGTTATAAAAATAATCAACATAAAAAGTCTTATTATTAGGTTTACAAATGTTTCTATGCAATATTTCTCCCTTTCTCGTTGCATATTTTTGCATTTCGTCGTCGTATCATTCTTTTCTTTTCATTGTTGCATTTCATTGTTGCACTCTTTTTTTCTTGTCGTATCTCTTAACATTTTGTCATCACGCTTTGTCTCTCTCTCTCAACGCATCACTTCACATTTTGTTGACACGCTCTCTCTCTCTCTCCATCGTACTCTTTCTATTTTGTGTCTTACATCCTATTTTCTAGCCATCACATTTTATGTTTTCACATCGCTATATTTACTTCCAAACTATCACACTATTAATATTTAAACAATAACAATAGGAATCCAAAAATAAAAAACAAAAGAATAAAATAATTTACCTTAATTTGGATGTACACAAAGGAGAGGACGATGAAGAAAATAAGACAAAATCATAAACAAGAGACTCCAATGCAAATTGTATCTATAATTTAAAATTTTAAAATATTTTTTATGTTGGGTATTGTTCCACTCCTCATAGAAAATATTTTCTATATTAGATGTCATTTCATCCGTCATAATAGAAAGGTTTGGGATCAACACTTTTAAGTTAGAGGAACACAAAGCAAATTTATTTTAATTTTGATGAATTAAAAACATATTTAATTTAAACCTTATTTAAATTATTTAATTATTAAATAATTAATTTATATTTTAATATTTATAAAAATTAAAATTTTAATTTGAGTTTTTACATATATATATATATATATATATTTTTTTTTTTTATTATTTTTGCCATACAAAACGGGGTGAGACAGGTACAGGGACAGGAAATTCCAAACCCAATTTTTCAAGTCAAAGAAAACTCATACCCGAACCCTTATTCAATCAAAGCTCTCCACCAAAATCGAATTGAGTTAGATAGGTACCTACACGAGTGCGAATTTAGTTGTGATGTTTATGTTTAGTGACTTATGGAATCGGGAGGAAATATAATCACAAATCTAACATAACAATAACATGATTTTTATAACAACTACCTCTCATCTAAATATATAAGAGAACGAGGAAGCCAGTTCAAGCCACAATTACTACGTAAGGTACATCTATATCGATATAGTATACAACCACATATAATGCATCATAGTTTATACATAGGAAGCCATATAATGCATGTAAATAAAAACGGTATAAATGTCTAGATAACTGCATAATACAAATACATGCAGAATGAAACTAGTTATTCAAGCACATAACAAAAGGACTTGCATGCAAATCTACTTGGAAACCCAAACAACATGATCCTCAGGAAGGAAGTGGCAAACAGGAACAGTTCCTGGCTTAACTTTGAGCACCTGAAAGGCCAAATGTTTAGGGTTCCATTGTGACGTGTCAGTGTGGCACACTGCTACAGCTTTAACTCTGATCCCATTTGCACCCTCCAAAGGCACAGAGTAAGCTTTTGTGGTCTCAGTTTTGTGACAGTAGAAAACAGCATAAGGGTAATTCTGCTTGTGACACACAACAGCTTTGTCCCCTGCCAACTTCTTAACTCCCGGTGCTATAGTGTATTTCTGCAACCCCGTTTCTTTGTCCACTTCAGTGGACACAACCTCAACGTTTTTTCCAAGCTTGGAAGTGCTGAAATCAACCATGGACTCAAGTGAGGTGGCGCAATACTTTTCCTCGCCCTTGATGCCACCCTCTTCACATTCACTAATAGTGTTCTTCATGATCTGAGCCTCCTTCGAGTCGGGTTTGACGTTAAACCTGTTGAGTATATCGTCCACTTTGTCGGATGAAAAGGGTGTGGAATCAGCAACTTGGCGTGGCAAGAACGTGGCTTGGTTTGAAGTCTTGGTGAAGTGCAAGTTGAGTTTTGTTCCGGGGTGCAAGTCCTTTTCCAAGAAGAAAAGTGCCACGTTGGGGTCATCGTGTAATTGGGTTTCAGTGGCAGCATATATGTAATTAAATGGAGATTTTGGACCAACGGAAACGTACACGGGTTTTCCCTTCTTGTGGCCTGTACTCACTGAAACTCCACCACCTTTTCCACCAACGTTCACATTGGTGCCACCTCCTTTTCCTGCATGCACGTTTACGCCTGATCCCTTTCCAACGCTCACTGACGTGCTTTTCTCTTCCACAAAATCTGCAGTGTTATAAATTAATTAACTTATTGTTAGTTCATCACTGGCCAAACTAGATTCTATCTGCAACTATACTCCCAAGTATTATATATATTTAGTGCTATGGAATCTAGCGTTATGAAGAAGAAAAAAATGAATGTTTTTGTTTCTTTTTAACAAACATTGTTGTATGAGAATCTTAATTGATTCTTGTTATACGTGTAAGAACGTATATTTCTCTGAATATTTTCATTTTATTCCATATTAATTAATTTCATGTACCAAACAAGGACATCACATGGAAGTTTATTCCATTCGGACAGGTACAAAATTATGGACCTTAATGGCCATTAATTAAATTTCAACTCAATGTTCCGTTTCGTTTATATTTTATTCGAATTCTATGAAACTGGTAGTATTTAATTTACCAAATATAGCATGAATAAAGAAAGGCGACATAAATAAGCGTGGGAGTATCATCCGTGCATACTACAGGTAAGATAATTATTGTTTTCTTAATGTAAAAATAAACTTGAAATACATTAAAAAAAAATAGTCACGATTATAATTTAAATTAAATTACAGTTTTAGGCAGTTTGATTATTTCATTTTTACTCTTATAAAGCATGACTATCCTTTCTCTAAATCGTCTTGTTTGAATAGGATAAAATTATTATAAGTGAATAAAATTCATATTAATCATATAATTGATCGTTCCTTATTTATAATATAATTGGAATTTTTGTATACATATAATTTATAATAAAAAATTAGATTTCATGTCTTTTTTGTTATTTCTTTTCACTTAATTTTTCCTTTAACCAAACATTAAAAAATACAATTTATATATTTTTAAATATCATCACTCAATTTTCTGCCCTACTACTACTAAAGAGGTCATGTGTGACTGCACCTTTCTTTTTCTTTGACAATTCTATATAACTACACACTTGAAAAGGAAAGCATGTGGTGACTACCAATTCGTGTGAAGTTGTGTTATGCATACAAGTCTTACCGGTAGGACAGGCTATTAAAGTTGGGAGGACTACAGGAGTTGAAAAAACACATATTTTAAATATTTTTAAACGTGCTGTCAAAAAGCAATACTTTAAGCATATTTTTGTCATTAATTAAAATAAACGTGAAGCGTTTATTGTTGTTATTATATTGTAACAAAACTTATATAGAAGGCTTTTTTTTTATCAATGTTATTTCACTTTGGGACAATATTAATAACAGAGCTATCAAAAATGGTTGAACCAACTTCTTGTTTAACTGTACTGGATGGGATACTTAAATTTGAGGTTCAAAAAGAATTGACAAAATTTGGCTTGATCACATCAATCAAATAAAAAGCACATAAAATACAGCGCCAACAAAAGATAAATTTATCTTTTAAACACTACACCAAAATTAATTTTTTTTGGCAATTAATTTATTATTTAGCAGTCATATAAATAGTCATTATTTTTTTTACCAGCATTTAAATAATGACTGGTGTGTCCAAGGTTGTTAATTCTATTACTGGCATTTATATAAATGCTAGTAAAGATCTACTAATTTGTTGTAAAAACTTATTTTTTTAGTGACAATTCTAGTAGCCATTTTAAAGGCTATTAAAAGTTATTTTTTTTCAATTTTCTCCTTTAATTTAAATAATTTATTCCTATAATTTCTTTTTTTAAATTCATAACTTATATATTTTTTTTATCTCTACCCGATGTGAGATTTATAAAGTGAAAGTTACCCTCTAATTATTTTATAGCACTATTGAACTTGGTAATAATGAGTGATTTGATACCAATTTAGAATAGTGAATTAGGAGTCTAATTCAACCCTATAAAATGAACCTATAAGGTGATAGTTATTATTCACTTATATACTATTTAATTATCTTATCTCTAATCGATGTGGAACTTAAATTTTTTCCAATAAATAATTATCGCTAATAGTAAACTTTAGTGTAGTATAAATACATTTTTAGTGGCTATTATATATTAGCCATTAATATTTTTATATATAGCGATAATTAAATTATTATCATTAAATAATTATTGTTAATAACAAATTTTGTTGTAGTGAAAATATTAAACATGTTTTTATATAAAAGAAATTTATAAATTTATTTAAAGATAAGTTTATGTCCTATTTCTAGATATCTTATTTAAAAATAAGATACCATCATATATTTCATATTAGACTTAAAAATATACCTATCATATAAATAAGTTAGATTCAATTTTTATAAAATCTAAACTATTTTTTTTTATATTGGTGTAAATTATTACAACATAAGTTCTTAAACAAACTTGTCCTTTCAACAAGACCTATAACAAATAAACAAACTAGGTTCAAGTCATATTTTCCAACAAGCTCAAGCTTAGGTGACAAGTCTAAATTAGCCTAACCTATTTCTACCTCTAATATAAGGAAATGTAAATTGAGAAAAATCAATATGAGTTTAAAGCGAGGGTAAAAAAACTAATCTATTTAGGTTAATTTTAACTATGAAATATATCATTAAAATAAATAAATAATTTAAATTAAATTAATCTTTTATATACCATAATTATTTCAGTAATATATCATGGTTGAAAATAACTTCACAAATTTTTTTCCCTCTCATCTTAGTTATGAGATAATAAATTTCTCGTTGCAATACGTAAATGTAGTCATGCATTCTATGCATGGGGATTTTATATACGTGTAACTAGTATTTCAGTTTTTATATATATCATAAAGGATAAATACTTATTTTTATGTGATTAAATTTATAATAGTTAAATATTTTTAAAATAATTTTATATTACAATTAAAAATTTTCATGATATTTTAAATTTATAATATAGAACTTAAACTGTAATATATATAGTGTCTGTTTGATTAAAAAAACTTCTTATAAATTTGTTTTTTAAATAAAGTAAATTTTTTTTTATCTGTTTATTTTAAAATAAGTAATTTTCTATTTTTTTAATAAGCAACTCCTATCTACTTTTGAAATAATTTTTTTTTAAAGTACTTGTTTGAAAATACTTTTTAAGTTTAAACAAACAAATCCATATAAAATCGTTTCTAATATTATTAATAATTTTTAAAATTATTAAAATTAATTTATAAATATCTTTTAATTCATAATATTATCAATACAAAATATTTATCATCAGTTTTATCAATAATAAATCCCTATTAAAGAACTCAGTTAACCATCTTTAATAATTCTTCCGTTTTTTTTTTATTCAAGCATGACTCAAGCTTAAATCTTCAATCAAGAGATCTATGTTCAGTTTTACTCATACATCTAACTATGCATAGGAGTGAGTTAGTATATATGTGTGCTAACCGGGGTAAAGAATATCAGTGATGGCTTTTGGCATTGGCGTAGTAGGAAGCACCGACTTCCAGTAAACTTCAGGAGGTAAGGCAGCATGAGTTGCCACCAGTGCAAGCTGCAATTAAGTTAAGTCCAAAATACACAAATAACACGTTAATTACCATCAATTCTCATAGTTAAACATTGAATATGGCACAAAGATATGTAATACCCTTATATTGTTTTCATCATAATAATATGCAGATTAATAAATTAAAGTGTCAAATATAAAATATAAATCCCACAACTCTATGAAGAAAATAGAAACCACAACTTGAAGTTAAGTAACGAGAATATATATGCATGGTTTAGTTGCAATTGGATGTTGAAGCTCACGTTGAGGAAAGCAAAAATAGGTAGCAGACGATACTCCATATGTTGAGAAACAAATAAAGTTTGTAGAACCAGGAAGGGAAAAAGGAGGGACAGAGATGAAAGAATGATATTCTGGTAGAGGTTGCCTCACATCATATTTATACGCGGAATATACAGTTAGACTATTAATTGGGAAGGCAAAATTTAACTACAAATACTTAAGTGTAGTCCATATTATTCTTCGATCAAAATTAAAGATATATTTCTGTAATATATGTTTATATTTAATATATATTATTAATATATGTTTATACATATTATTGAAATAAATTTTAAATTTTGATTAAAAAAATAATACTAATTATATTTAAGAAATTGTATGAGATATAGAATAGGTTCTAGAAAAAACTCCTTAAACATTAACTTACCAGTCGCCACCAATATTATCATACATTTTAAAAATCTCAACTGTCCCGGTTCAGTGATGTGGATTGTGACGGTGTCTTTAAATAAGTAGGTAGAGAGATAAAGAAATAAAGATGAGTGTGTATCTCACGATGGGTAGGCGGCGTGGGCTATATATATTGAGTTAATCACATTATTAGTATAAATATTAATGAATCAAAATTGTTAATAATATTTTTTTATCTACTCATTTAATTAAATTAAAATATAAAAAAAATATTATTAATAACTTTAATTAATTATTAATGTAAAAAATTTTATACCGTGTATAGATGATTAACTCATATATATTTATAAACGTTTCTTATTAAGTGCGTTGATTATGCTAGAATTTGAGCATAATTAGGACACAAGTTAATAACTTAGAAATAAAACACGGAGTATATTAAATCAGAAAGTTAATACGTGACATTTTCAGGAGTTATATTTATTATTTAGTACTGGTAATTTAATTTTAAATAATGTAAATAAACATACGTAGATTTAGTACTTTATTTTTTAAAATATTTAAATGGATGTTAAATTTTAACTATATATATAATTTACTCAATAATAACCTTTTTCCCACCCGATTCACATAAATGCCATTCCTAATATATTCTATAATGTATTCAGTTTGTTGAGCAGTGTATATTATTATAAATTTCATAGTACTGAATTTTATTTTTATACATAAAAAAAACTGTCATCCCTGAGAATACAATAATACATAATAAAACATATGTCATGAAATTAAATTATTCAATAAGATATGCAAACAGATATTTTTATATTAATTTATGGAAAATCGAACATAAATATCAAAGAAAATTATAATACTCGTGTACATTATTTAACCAATTGAGTTATATCTCCTTTTATGAAAATAGATCATTTGCTTTAAGGTGCTATTTTTTTAAAATAAAAAGTATAAAACATTATCTTTAATTATTTAAGGTTTTACTTGTTTCAAGTTATATAAAACACAGCAAACTAGTCATTAAATACAAAGTTAGTTTCATAAATGTCATTTGATATTCATTTGGCTTGGTAGAATAATTGTACGCCGTCGACCATTAATTAGAGCCAAAATCATTAATTATTTAATGATGTACTTGTTTGAAGATATATAAAAAAAAAATACCAATTTCATGTGGGTTATAAAAGATAATAAATATATGTATAATTTCAATGATTTCACATAAAATCTACACTACATTTCTTGAAACATTTTTAATCAATAACTACATTTAGTATAAATAATGCTCTCATTTATTATCTTTAGAGTATTTTTTGTAACATTATTTTGAGGTGTTACTGTAGTGGGAAAAATCCAAATTAACATTCTAAGTCTTCATCTTCTTTGCTTAGGTCCACAAAATATGTAAAAGGGGTCCTTGCTCTTGGAAGCTCTTTCAAGTGTTCTTAAGACTTTGGAAGCTCAAGTAAGTGATGTGGTGTTGGACTTGTTTGAGTGCGGAGCTTTGAAGCTCAAATTTTCCTTTCTTCCTCTTCTTCAACTTAGGAAGTTGGGAATCAATATAAGGGAAGTTAGAACTTGTTGCAAGTAGATTTTCGATGTTGCATGCATTAGGATTCTTGTTGAATGCTTGTCGATATGAATAAATTGGATTGGGTGTTGAAATTTTTCAAGAACTTATGATTTTTGGTGTTCTTAGTGAATGATGGAGAAAATCTATGATATGTTTGCAATAGGGTGATTGCATCTAGCTTTTTGAGTTACTTTTGAATCATAGGATGATAAAAGATGTTAACTTATAAGTTGCATGTTTGAGAAATTGGTAGTAGATGAGACGATTCACAGTTGTATTTAGTTCTTGAAGTTGTTGTGTTCGTTCATGAATATGCAGGTTTTTGGACTTATTTGCTTATAGCACCAATCTCGGTCGCTCTAAGCAAGCGAGTGTGCCCAAGTCATGGATGGTCACTAACTTAGCTTGCTTGGGAGCGAATTGTGATCGCTCAAAGCGAGTTTCAATGACTAGAGCGAAAACTCACTTGCTCAAAGTGAATAGAGGTGGAAATTTAGGGTTTGTCCCTAACTTTGCTCACTTAACGCGAATTAAGGGATGCTTTAAGTGAATTCGATTGCTTAAAGTGAGGGTGGTGTCACTTAAAGGACCAAAGTGAGACTAGGTGGGGTGTTCTATGTTTGGACTCGCTCCAAGCAAATTTCTTGGCACTTAAAGCGAAATTGTGTCGCTTAGAGTGAGGATCTTGGACACTTGAAGCGTCAATCCCCTTTTTGTTGTATGAGTTGGATGTTTGTATGAAGTAGAATGAAGGTTTAATCTAATGTTTTGTGTGTTGATCATACATTGGTATGAGATAATGTGTGATGATGATTTAATTATTGGTGATTAAATAATGTATGGTGAACATATGATTGGTATAATTTGATCTTTACATGCATTGGTTTGCGGTAATTTATACAAAGGATGTATCTTGAGGTATTGATATTAAGAACGTTACGAGCATTTAAGTATGTTGATTGACTTATGATTAAAAGAGATATTGTTTAAAAAGTCAAAATTCCCAAATATGAAATTTTGTTTTAACACTTTAGGAAATCAATGGTTAAAAATCATTTTTGAGTAGGTTTAAAACTTTTAAAATGGATTTTGGTAAGTCTTATATAGGTCTTTAATTATCAATTAAACTAACTATATTTCTTTATCTCGATAAATTAAGTAAATAAGTATTATAAAAAGAATCAATGTGTAAAAAAATACTAATTAATAGTCAATATACTTAATTTAAAGTCTTGACAAATTTATTATGCTAACTAGTGTGAAGTGTGACAACATTTTTTAAACATGTTGGAAATTCATTAATTTATATATATATATATATATATATATATATATGAAAAATGTAAGAAAAAATAAAACTCACTTTAATTATATTGATATCTTAAAAAATATTATTTAAATATAAATTGAGAGATATCCTTAGTTTGAAAAGGTTA